TGTCCTCCAGGCTCACCCATTTTGAATAATATTGCATGAGTTCCTTGTTTTTCAATGCAGCGTAGTATTCCATTGTGTGAATATACCACAGCTTCTCAAGCCATTCGTTTGTTGATGGGCACCTGGGTTGTTTCCAACTCCTTGCTATTGTGAACAAAGCGGCAATAAACATGGATGTGCATATATCTGCGTGGATGTCAGTTATGGTCTCTTTGGGATATATTTCCAGTAGTAGAATTGCTGGGTCAAACGTTATCTCTATTTGTAACTTTTTGAGAAAGCGCCATACAACCTTCCACAGTGGTTGCACCATTTTACACTCCCACCAACAGTGAATAAGGGTTCCAGTTTCTCCACAACCTCACCAGCATTTGTTGCTTGCTGTAAACATTTTCTCTTATGATGAGTGCTTTTGTACCCTCTTTTAAAAAATCTTTGTCTACTTTGAAGTCATGAAAATAATATTTCTCAGTTTTCTTCAAAGACCATCACTATTTTAGCTTTACTTTTTAGATGTTTTAAAGTAATACTGACATTGTTGTTAGGTGTCATTGAGTCCATTATGACTGATAGCAACTCTATGAACAACAGACCTGAACTCTGTCTTATCCTGTCTTATGCCATCTTGTCATCTCTCATACACTTGAGACCGTTGCTGCAGTCACTGTGTTAATCCATCTCACTGAGGATCTTCCTCTCTTTCACTAACTCGGGACCTTTCTAAGAATGATGTCCCTTTCCAAGAAATAACCCCTTCTAACAGCATACCCAAAGTATGTGAGACAATATTTTGCCATCTGTACCACCATGAAGCACTTTGGTTCTACTTTCTCCAAGACATATTTAGTTGTTCTTTTGGAAGTCTGTGTTATATTCAGCACTCTGCTCCAGTATTACAACTCAAAGGTATTCATTCTTCTGCTATGCATTGTCCAGCTCTCAGATGCACAGCAGATGACTGGAAAGACTGTGGCTTGAATCAAGGACACCTTAGTCTTTAGACTGACATCATTGATCTTCAAGACTTTGTTGAAGTCCTTGACAGCAGACTTCCCCAATGTTATATGTCTCCAGATCTTTCTTTTCTTCCCATAGGGATAGTAAATCAATCAAGTCAGTATTCTTTACTTTAAAAAGCATCTTTTCCCTGCATGTGATATTTTTTATAAGTTAGATGGCCTTATATTTTCAGTTCTAAAATATTACACATTATTTGTCAAGATATTTTATGACCTGTATACATTTTTATGGCTACATGATCTTCTGTTGGATAATGTATTTAAAACCCCAATATTATTGGTGATATTTTCCCTAGAATTATTAATCAATGATATCATACAGGCATACCTCAGAGATATTAAGATTTCGGGTTCCATACCAAAACAATAAAGTGAGTATTGTTATAAAATGAGTCACACAAATTGTTTGGTTTCTTGGTGCATAGAAAAGTTTAGCTGTGATTATTTTAAGTGTAACAAGGCAGTTGAGATCTGAGAGGTGGTGAGTGAGGAAGCTACATCCTCTCCCTCGATTTCGAGATCACTGAAGCCTGCCATCTCCCTCTTTCCAGAATTGAGTTCTGTGGAAATTGCCCTGACTATCATCCTGACCCTCCTCTCCATGGGCTCCATCGTCATCTTCCTGGAGGATGCCGTTTACCTGCATAAGAACACCCGCTGCCCCATCAAGAGGAAGACGCTGCTCTGGAGCAGCTCTGCCCCCACGGTGAGGGGCCTGGACACGCTTCAGGAGGGACTGGAGGGGAGGAAAGAAGTTCTAGTGGCATAGTGCTCTAAGTATTATGTTTTTGTTGTTGTGTGCCGTCGAGTTGAGCACAACTCATGGTGACCCTATGAACAAAAGGCCTAAAACCTTACTATAACTATCATTATTTATCAAAGTTCATAGAGTTTCCAGAGGCATATATAGAAAGCGGAAGCCACTCCTGCTTCTAAAACCAGAAGGTCAGTAATTCTAAGCCACCTGCTGATGCACAGGATAAACATAAGCAGTCTCCTCCTGTAAAGATTTACAGCCTTGGAAACCCAATACAGGCGACTGGGTCAGAATCCACACTACAAGCAGTGGGGTTTGGGAGGAGAAGCAGGGACCATTTTGACAATTTGCTCTGAACACAGTTCAAGTCAGCAAGTGGGTTGGCTCTGTTACCTCAGGATGGAGCCCTTAATTTGATCTCATTTGCATTTAGGACTTAATGCTTGAAAGGACAATGGGTCAGTGGGATATAGAAATAGCCAGAGAGCCTGCTCTCCACCACAGTATTGCTGACAAAACAACATTACTGCCTGCAAAGGAAGGCGTAGATCCTCAGAGTGGAGGAGGGAAAGACTCCCAAGAGGGTTATATTTAGCTCTGCTCTTACACCTTTCCAGAATACTTAATTATGATTATGCATGTAAGATATCTACACCTAAATTTGGTCACCTAGATCAGATGTTAGAGACCTCTCTGGGGTACTGAAGAGCAATGGTGTCACTCTGGAGACTAAGGTGTCTCTGATACAGGCCATGGTCTTTGCAATCACTTGTTATGCATCAGAGAGTTGGACAATAACTAGGAAGGATAGAAGGAGAATTGATGTCTTTGAGCTGTGGTGCTGGAGAAGAGAATTGAATGTTCCATGGACTGCCAAGAAAACAAACAAATTCATCCTGGAGAGGGTTAAACCAGGTTACTCCTTGGAGGCAAGGATTCTGGAGCTTCATCTGACATACTTTGGACATGTTGTAAGGCGGTCCTTGGAGAGGGACATCGTGCTTGTGAGGGTAGAGGGACAGTGCAAGAAGGTAAGACTCTCTATGAGGTGAACTGATTCAGTGACTGGGGTAATTGGGATGGGTGTGTCAGAGGCAGTGCGATTGGCACAGAATAGAGCAGGGTTTGGGGCTGTTGTACATAGGGTCGCTATGAGTCACAAGAGACTCGATGGCACATAACAACAACAACAACAGATCAGATGTAGATATCCTATAAGCATGATTTGATTAACAGTCAGTTGTCGGCTGGAAGCCTCTTGTTTAAACCAATTAGGACCCAATGGGTTGACCTTTATGATTAAAAGTTAGTTGGGCCTTTGTTATCAAAAGCTGGTTTAGACCTGTGCTTGTTTGAAACAGTTGGGATATGGAAGGTAAGTTTTTTTTGTTTGTTTGTTTGATTAACAGTCAGTTGTGGGCTGGGAGCCTCCTGTTTAAACCAATTAGAATCCAGTGGGTGGGTCTTTGTTAAAAGTTGGTTGGACATTGATTTACTATTAGCTATACAAACTAAATTGTCAGTTTGTTGTATTTGGGGAAAACGTTCTACTTGGTACAGCACTTGTCTGTCAGCTTGCTGGACTAAGGTAGCTTGGGGGTTGCTGTGCCACTGGTGTGTCAAATGCCACAGGGTTACCCATAGGAGACAGGTTTTAACAGAGCTCCCAGAGCTTCCTAAAGAGTAGGAAGCAGGATTGATCATCCACTTCTTAAATAACAGACCTTTGAAAACCCTATGAACAGTAGAGGAATGTGGATAGTTACAGGATTAATGGTAGAACCCAGACTGGAAGTCAGTCAAAATGAGGAAAGATAATGGCAAACATGGTTTAATAATTGGAACATGGAGCTTGAATGATGGAAAACTAGAAGTTGTAAAAATGAAATGGAATGCGTGAACACCAACATTCTAGGCAGGCAGTAGTGAGATGAGATGGACTAGCTTTGCCACTTTGAATCAGATAATCACATGGTATACTATGCTGAGAATTAAAAACAGAAGAATTGTATTCCATTCATAGTCAAAAAGTCAGATTCAAGTTCTATCCTGAAATACAATGTTGTGAGTTATAGGATATTATCCACACATATACAAGGAAGACCTGTTAATACGATTATTATTCAAATATACCTTCATACATCTAGAGTTAAAGAGGAAGAAAGAGAAAATTTTTATCAAATATGCAGTCCAAAATTGACCAAACATGCGATCAAGATGTGTGAATGGAATGAAAAAGTTGAAAACAATGAAGGAATAGTAGTCAGAATGTATGGACTAGATGACAGAAATGAGGCTGGAAACAGAATTGTTGAATTTTGTATTTTCAGTTATTTATTCCTTTTTAAAAAGACACAGAGACTTTACACATGGGCCTCACCTGATAGGCTGCATCAGAATCAGATTGACTACATCTGTGGAAGGAATCGTTAGTGAAGCTCAGTATCAACAATCAAAACTTGAGACAGAAAATGAAGAAAAAACCAAATTGTGTGTAAAAAGAGACTCTAAAAATTGCACGAGTGTCAAAAAGCCAAAACAAAGGGAAAACATTCCAAAGTAAAAGAACTGAACAGAAGATTTCAAAGGGTATTTTGGGTATACAATGTAATGTATTATAATCGTATGTGTAGAGAGTTGAAAATGGAGAATAAAAAGGGAAGAACTCACTCTTCATTTTTTTCAAGCTGAGAGAACAGAAAAACAAATTTAAGCTTTGGGGCACAATATTGAAAGATGCAATAGGCAATATATTGAATGGCCCAGTAAATACCAAAAGAAGATGGAGGGAATAAACAGAGTCACTATACCATAAAGAACTGACTGGCACTGAAAAACTTTAGCAAGTACCGTATAAGCGGGAGCCAATGATAATGAAGGAAGACGCTGGAGCTGCACTGAAGGCATTGGCTGAAAATAAGGACCTAGTAATCAGTGGGATACCAACTGACTTGTTTCGATTAACAGATATGGCCCTGGATGTGCTCACTAGTCTGTGCTAAGAAATTTGGAGGACAGCTGTCTGGCCAACAGATTGGAAGAAGTCCAGATTTGTTCCCACCCCAAAACCGCGCGGGATCCATTCGGGTCCGAGGGCCGCCAAAACCTACCTACACACCAGTTCTACAGGACACATCACCTTCGCTCGGGAAACATTACCACTAAACTTCAGAGACATTGGTCCCAACATAAGAAACTACCAGCAGTTGATGTTTTTTGAATCACAGAAGCCAAGGAAGACTCAGATATAAGGATCAGATCAAGGGCTGGACAATGGGAGATAGAGGTGAAGGGAGTGGCTAGAAGTGGATGGGTATCCTGGTGGATGGTGGAGCAGGGAAATAGGTGGGTTAAAGACGCATGTGCCAAAGGCAGGGACAACTCTGATACTAATGGTTAACTCCACAATAAGGGATATATCTTTCACTTTTTCTATAAAATGCTGGTCTCTCTGATACTTCTTTAAATCTGAACATTCAGATTAAGACAGACTAGGAAGAAGGATTGGCCATCCGCTTCTGAAATAGCAGGCCTCTGAAAACCCTATGTACAACAGAATAGGACCTGAAGCGCTTGCTGCAGAGGGTCAAGGACTGCAACCTCCAATATTGATTGAGGCTCAATGTCAAGAAGACAAAGATTCTCACCACTGGGCCAATTGGCAGCATCAGGATGGATGATGAAGAGATTGAGATTGTTTACAGCTTTAGTTTGCTTGGCTCCACAGTCAACACTCTCGGCACCAGTAGCCAGGAAATTAAAAGGCATATTGCAATGGGAAAGTCTGCTGTTAGGGACCTCTCCAAAGTACTGAAGAGCAATGGTGTCTCTCTGGAGTCTAAAGTGCATCTGATACAGGCCATGGTCTTTGCAATCACTTGTTATGCATCAGAGAGTTGGACAATGACCAAGGAGGATAGAAGGAGAATTGATGCCTTTGAGCTGTGGTGCTGGAGAAGAGTATTGAGAGTACTATGGACGGCTAGGAAAACAAACAGATTCATCCTGGAAAGGGTTAAACCGTCTGGCTCCTTGGAGGCAAGGGTTCTGAGGCTCTGTCTAACATATTTTGGACATGTTGTAAGGAGATACCGGTCCTTGGAGAAGAACATCATCCTTGGGAGGGAGGAGGGACAGCACAGGAGGGGAAGGCCCTCTATGAGATGGATTGATTCAGTGAGTGGGATAATCGGGATGGGAGTGTCAGAGACAGTGTGATTGGCACAGGACAGAGCAGAGTTTAGGGCTGTTATACATAGGGTCGCTATGAGTCGCAAACAACTCGACAGCACATAACAACAACAACAGAATGTGGAAACTATCAAACAATATTATTGATATTACCTGCAAACAAAATACTACTGAAGATCATTCAAACAGTACATAGAAGATCATTCAGAACCATACATAGATCTGGAATTACCAGTTCAAGCAGGGTTTAGAAGAGGCCATGGCACTGGCAATATCATTGCTGATGTCAAGTGGATCCTGCTTCTAAATAAAGAATACCAGAAAAATGTCTATTTGTGCTTTATCGACTATGCAAAGGCATTTGACTGTGTGGATCATGACAAGTTATGGCTGACATCGAGAAGAATGGGAATCCCAGAGCACTTAATTGCGCTTATGCAAAACCTATACTAAGACCAAGAAGTTGTTGTGTGAACAGAGCAAGGGAACACTACATGGTTTAAAATTGGGAAGGGAGTGTGTCAGGATTGTATTCTCTCTCCATATCTATTCAAACTGTATGCTGAGCAAATTACCTGAGAAGTTGGACTCTATGAAGAGGAATATGGCCTCAAGATTGGAGGGAGACTCATTGATAACCTGCATATGCACATGACACAACCTTGCTTGCTGAAAGTGAGGATAAGGCAGACTTGAAGCACTTGTTGCAGAGGATCAAAGAATAGAGCCTTCAACATAGACTGCAACTCAACGACAAG